GGACAATTTCTATTCATCCTTTAACAATCAGCATAGGCTTCACTTGCTCCCCTGGGCAGGAGGACAGTCTGCATGACATGCCACTCCTCTGAGCTCCCCATGTACCCTGTTTTAACCTCCATTGTGTCACATGAGACCAGCTCTGTCCAATAGAAACATAACAGGAGCCACAGGATGCAGTTTGGGAGGCTGAGGCGGGCAGATCATTTGAGGTCAGGATTTCAAGACCAACCTGACCAACACGGTGAAACCCCATCTCTACCAAAAATGCAAAAAAAAAAAAAAAAAAACCATTACCCAGGCATGGTGGTAGATGCCTGTAGTCCCAGCTACTCAGGAGGCTGAGGCAGCAGAATCACTTAAACACAGGGGGTGGAGGATGCAGTGAGCCACGATCCGGCCACAGCACATCATCTTGAGTGACAGTGAAACTCCATTTCAAAAAGAAAAAAAAAAAAAAAGAAAAGAAAAGAAAAAAGAAAAAGAAAGAAAGAAAAGAAAAAGAAATATAGCAGGAGCCCCATAAATGTAAAATATCTAGTAGCCACATTTAAAAAAAATCAAAAGAAACAGGTGAAATTAATTTTAATTATATATTTTAACTTGATATCTAACTGATCATTTGACAGGTAATCAACGCCATGTTCAAATGATTAGATACTTTACACTATTTTATCATACTAACTTGTTAAAATCTAATGTGTGTTCTACACAAAGAACACATCTCAATTCAGACTAACCACATTCTCAGTGCTCAGTAGCCACATGTGGCTGCTGGTGACTATGTTGGACAGTAGAACTTTACACTGGAATAATTGACTTCTGAGTTTGCCTTTCCTTCTGGAAAATATGCTGCATAAGGACTAGTCAATGTTATATGTGTGGTATCATCAGTGTATCTTCAGTGCCTTACATATACGGAGTGCTCGTGAAATGCTTGCTGAACTGAACTGACCTGAATATGGTTAGACAGAAGGGAGGATTTTAGCAGCTGTTCAAATCAAGTGCCGCTTATGCATACTTACAATAATTATGATGACAGAAATGATAGCTAATACTTTTTCTTGAATGATGTTCTATAGTTTTAAAATATATTATCTCGTTTAGCCCTCACAATGACCCTATATGCCACATACCATTGTTATATCCATTTTATGAAAGAAGAAATTTCCTCCAAATCATACTGCTACTAAAGTGGAAGAGCCAGAATTTATTGAAATAAAGAAAAACAAAGTAAATAACATTAATTACATGCACACTCACCCACCACAATAAACAAAAAGTTGAAAATAAGCTATCTTCACATAAATTTAAAAGCCCCGCCCAGGCGTGGTGGCTCAGGCCTATAATCACAGCACTTTGGGAGGCCAAGGCGGGTGGACCACGAGGTCAGGAGTTCGAAATCAGCCTGGCCAACATGGTGAAACCCTGTCTCTACTAAAGATACAAAAAGTTAGCTGGGCACCTGTAATCGCAGCTGCTTGGGAAGCTGAGGCAGGAGAACTGCTTGAACCCGGGAGGGGGAGGTTGCAGTGAGCCGAGATCACGCCACTGCACTCCAACCTGGGCGACAGGGTGAGAGTCTGTCTCAGAAAAAAAAAAAAGAAAAGAAAAGAAAAAGAAAAAAAGCCCCCTCCAATATGGATGCCTTCCCTTAAATTTCATTTACCAACTCCTGCAGTGTCTTTTCCAGAACTTGGTGGTCTGCTGAGTTTTCCCTCATGCAGGACCTACTTCTTTACAAATTTCTGAGCTAGGCATTTCTGGCTTGATATTTAATATCTTTCATACTCTCCTTCTATATTTGCATTCTGCCTGTCTGGTCAAAACAGCAAAGCTCTTCACAAACCACTCTAGTGACTAAAGTCACCTTTTTCAGGTCCTCAGCTTCTCCCAAAATAGTGAGAAAGAGCAGTGCATAAACTGCTTTCCTCTTCCTGCCGCCTGGAGGGCCCCACAGTCTTGCTCACATGGCCCGTGGGGGAGATAAGCAATAACTGTTGGTGTGTGCTTTTGTTTAAGAAAACCGGGCTGAACTATGCCTAAGAAAAATGACGCAGATTTTAATTTTTTTATTTTTATTTTTTTGGTGTACAAAAATTCCATTATTTCTAAACCACAGAACCAGAGCCACATCTGGCAAGGGAAATAAAGCTGGAGATGTAAGGAAAGGATAGATTAGGAGAAGCCTTGAAAACAGGCAGCTGAGTTTGGATTTGATGTGGTGGGAAATAAAGATCCCTTAAGGGTTTCTGAGCATGGGAGTGATGTGATGAAAACAGTGATTAAAGATGATGAAATACAAGCAGGACAAACTGAAGGGAGGGACTGAGTCTGAGAGGAGGCAGTGATCCAGGCTCAGGGGAGGTGGAGAAGGCAAGGGTATTTATTAGAAAAGAGGTTCATGATCCCATACAAATTAATTAACATGTGCACACCCCAAGTTACTACCTGTCTTTTGGTGGTGTTTTTTTTTTATGCTTTTACTATATTGGGAAGGCAAAAATAAACTCAGGAGGAAGCAAATACTTTCATTAAAATGATAATAAAATGTCATCCCTACGAATATAGAGGTTTAACTGAGTACCCCACTGAGCAAATGAGTTTCATTGCAAGCATGTGGAACAGTGTGCTGGGCTGAAGTGGATTTCAGAAAAATTCATATTAGATCCTTATTCACAGAATTAAACAAACACAATGAACATGAAGTAGTTTTTTAAAGCAGCCTCCTGCAGAGGAAGGCCATATGACACAGCAGAAATGCTTGCCCTCAAAGGGGCAACTCCAGCCCAAGAGTAAGCCTAACTCCTCACCTTCGAGGATGCTGAAAGCATCCCATCCTAGTCACGCTCTCCAGCGGCAGGAAGAGCGCGTCGACTACCATAAACAAACACTGTTTGCCTAGCTCCTACTCAGGAAACTGTATACGATAAGCCATCAAACTCTTTAACTCTGGCTGTAATTTTTAATGATCCAGAGACTTAAAAATTATTTCCATTTGTTTAGATCTGAAAACAGCCTTCGAGGACATCTAAATCCATCATTTAAGAATATTTTTAACTATACAACCCTTTTGTCAATTACATCTAATGGAAACAGAATGGATCAATATTAAAATGGGCTCCTTGGGTAGGGACTATGGTAAAAGACCCAGATCTCCATCTACTCATTTTCTCCCATTCCCTGTGTCTACCTCTACCTTGCAACTTACCCACACTGTGGCAGACCCCAGAACACTCCCCAGGGCTACAGAGAAAGAAGTCTGCAAAATACCGAAGGGTCTACCACCTCTTGTGTGTGCGGCTTCTTGTGACAGGTGAAAAAACCGAAACCCAGAAAGCTTAACACAGGACTTCCATTTCCAGCCATATGGCAAACTAAAGAACCTGGAAAACCTTCATCTAGAAATATGTGGAATGTTAGCTAAATACAAATATTCACTTAAATGCATAAAATGAACTCATGTAGAAAAACTTATCAGTTTGAAAGTGGGCACAACCTATGACCCAGCAGGTCCATGTCTATGTATGTATCCCAAAACAGTGTTTTTCAACTTGCCAGTGGAGATGCATCTCTGGGTTATAAAAGTACTTTCCTAAATTCCATAAAATCAATTTCCTAAATTACATACGGTGGTGTATGAAATAGTTCAGGTTAAACTGAATTAGAGGTTAAGTGCAGTGGCTCACACCTATAATCCCAGCATTTTGGAAGGCTGAGGCATGTGGACTGCTTGAGTGCAGGAGTTTGAGACCAGCCTGGACAATGTGGTGAAATCCCATAATTAAAAAACAAAACAACAACAACAACAACAATTAGCTGGGTGTGGTGGTGCACACTGGTAATCCCAGCTACTCAGGAGGCTGTAGTGGGAGGACTGCTTGAGTCCTGGAGATCGAGTCTTCAGTAAGCCATGATTGCACCACTGCACTCCAGCCTGGGTGACAGAGCAAGACATGTCTCAAAAATAAATAAATAAATAGTCCCAGTGCAGTGGCTGACACCTGTAATCCCAGCACTTTGGGAGACCAAGGCAGGAGCATCACTTATGGTCACGAGTTCAAGACCAGCCTAGCCAACATGGTAAAATCCCATCTCTATTAAAAACACAAAAATTAGCTGGGCGTGGTGGCACATACCTGTAATCCCAGTTACTCAGGAGGCTGAGGTAGGAGAATGGCTTGAACCGGGAGGCGGAGGTTACAGTGAGCTGAATGCCCCACTGCATTCCAGCCTGAGCAACAGAGAGAGACTCCATCTCAGAATAAAATAAAATAAATAAACAAAATTAGAATTAAGTAGAAAATAAATGTAAATATTCTGAGAAACTTTTGTTCCATATATGCATACACATACATAAATGTAGCACAGGCATGCGCTGAGTTTCCAGGTAGCTATGTGGACAAAACATTTTGAAAAATGCTATTGTAGAGAAGCTTTTGCATGTTAGGACAAGGAAATGTACAAGAACAATCATTGAAGCATTGTTTATAATGGTGTAAAATTAGAAGCAATCTAAGTGTTCACCAACAGAAAACAGATAACCATATAGTGGTCTGTTCCTGAAACAAAGCAGTTCAAATGAATGAAGTAGAGCTAAATTGTTAAAATCGAATGTTAAATTAGATAACAAGCAAGTGGTAGAATATGTGTGGTATGTTTCCATTTATTTAAAATTTTTAAACATGCAAAATGACAGTACATATTGTGGAAAGATGCATGTGCATGCAAAAAAAGACTGAAAGCATGTGCGTGCAAGATAGTGTTTATCTCCGCGATGGAAGAAAAAGAAAGGGAATTAAGATGTCTGCAAAGAACTTTATGTCTAAAGCAAACCCATCAAAATGTTAGGATTGCCTGAGACTGGGTGGTAGGTCACAGAGTTTTGTGATTTCATTCTACTTTTTTTTGTTGATTAACTTCCTGTGTCTCCTGTGTCCATGACCCACGTGAGTTCATTTTACACATTGGCACATTTGACATTTTTTAAAGTCACTCACCTGCGGCCAGAGAGCTGATTGGCAGAGTATTCTGGTCTAAGCTGAGGGTGGGATCCTAACTGATTCTCAGTCTGGTCTTCCTTCCGCATGAGTCTCAGTTCATGATCTGTTTGCAAATGAAAGGATTTGCATCATTTGGGCCTCATCTTGGTAATTTATTTTTACCTGAGAGATGAGGCTCCCCACAGTCCACCGAGGCCACATCTGCTCTGGCAAGAAAGAGCACAAAGCACATTTGCTTTGTGAAGGCTGAGCTGTTACTTCACAGTTTGTTACTTGGCTCTGTTTCCCAACTTCACTTTGCATTGCAACAAAATGCTAAGCCACTGAAAGGTCAGTGGAAAGATGATCTAAACATGCCAAAAATATCAGCAGAGAGAGAAAGAAACACAGAGGGGAGGGAAGGGAGGAAAAAACAGCTTTGAAAGGGAAACAGACTAACACAAAAAGCCATCAAATTAAAATCAGAATATTGCTGAGAAACCACACAAGCATCAGGTGGGTTTTAGATGATGGGAGTAACTGGAAATAGCAGCATTTTTATAGCCTTTGATCACAGATACACAAACCAACAGGAGGAAGTTCGTTAAGGTTTGTTTTAGTCTATCTGAGGACAAAAACAAGACAAATGATACCTTGGCAACAACTGGAGAATCATAACAAGAGAGATTTATGGGGCTTTGGAAAAGTTCAGGGCAATGGTTTTTATCATTGGCTCCTTTACACTTTTTGAGTTATATAAAAGACTATTATTTCTGTTCCTTCTTTCAGACTAAATAAATACATAATCATAACATCCAGGTCAGCTTTAGCTTTTCAAGTGGGTGAGTTAAAGCCTTCTGCTTTGTTGACAGGGGTGGGGTCAGAGGGGTGATACTGGCAGAAAATGAAGACAAGCCTTGTAGTATAAGGTCCAGGGCAATCATTCCCCAGGGTTAAGAAATAAACTGTATGTGATTCTATCTTTTGGACACCTCTCACCCTGGCATGCCCACTGTGTCCATGAACTATGAACATATTCCTTTTGTACTTCTGGTGAAAACTCAGCTCTGTGACAGAATTCCTTGTTTCAAGAGCAAAAGCAGCAGCAACAACTAATATTTATTGAACACTTTACTCTCCTAAGTTTTTTTTAATTTTTTTAACCTCATTTAGTCTTCACCTTCTCAGGAAGGTACTATAACTAGCCCCTTTTATAGATGGAAAAACTGAGACATAGGAAGTTTAAATAATGTAGCTCAGGTCATCTAAAGCGACAGAATCAGAATTGGAGTAGCCACTGGATTCTAACAGCTTGAGATTTTCAGAGCCACACCGTGCCTGGGAGTTGGTATTTAAGACAAGGAGGAGTAGCTGCTGAGATGACAGAACCGTTATGTTAGCAGCCGTGAGGCCCCTGCTCCAGCTACAGTGGTTCCAAGAGGGAAGTGTTTACATGCCAATGAAGGTGAGGGTACTGTCACTAAAAATCAGAATCCTTTCTTTAGATTTTCTAGCAATCCACAATATCTGCTTCCCGAATAAAGCAGAGACTTTTCAGGGCTATATATCTTGCCCTAAGTTATAGCTAATTTCCTGCTGTGCTCTCAAAGTGGAGAAGGACTTGGAAATGCTATTGAATAAGAGGCAGAAGATTGAAACTTGAGTTCAGGATTGCCACTTACTAACTGAATGGACTTAACCTTTCTGGGTCTCGTTTTCCTTATGTGTAAAATGAGAAAAATAATGCCCACTACACTGGATGGTGAGAACCAAACCACACAGAGGCATGCAGAGGCATGGAGAACTTTGATGGCACACATCGTTGACATGCAAGGTTTTTTTTTTTCTTTGTTCTGTAAGTCAAAGAGCACATTACCACCAAATTCTAACACCAATTACAGGGACATGGGAATCCCAAAGAGCCTTCCTTTGTAGTATTATTATTAACCTTGGTCAGGTCATGCTTCTTTTTTTTTTCCATCTGTAAGAGGACGGATATTAATTACCAAGTTTGCCTCCAACTTTGGTATTTTGTAGTTTTGTGTTCCAGGTGTAGGAAAACCAAACCCAGGGTTTCTAAATGGCAGGTCGGGCACTTCTAGGCAACTTTACTCTTCTAAGGTGAGCAATCACATTCCTCACATCCCACCACTCACACAGGAAATCTAACATCTAATATAATTACAGTGATTCCAATGGCCGGCAAGTTCAAGTGTTAGAGAAAAAGAACACTGGACTGTCTACCAGAGCTGGGTGGATATTCCATTTCGTAGGCAACTTGTTAGAAGGGGGTGGTAGCATGCTGACACTTTTGTTCTGGGTTAGGCCAGACCCATGAGGAATGCAGGACATTGTGAGCTTGGAAGGAGCTAGTTCTAGCCTTGTGATCTCATATGACTGCTTCACTGATAAGTATCGCTTGAAACTGATGTCAGGTATGACCATCACAGGGCCCTAGCAGGCTTCCTGACTCTCTGCAAGGTCTCTACAGAGGGGACTCTCAAGCACTAGACAATGTCAACAGGGGCAGTCATAACTTGAAGGGGTAACTGGAGCGTGGTCCTGTAGCAGCTGTGTGCTAGCTGAATGCCCTCCCAGTCCCTCCAGAGCAGGGCTGACCGCATTCCAAGGGAAGCTAGTCCTCTGGAGAGCATAGGAGCTGCAGCTTGGAATAATGAATCCATTCTCAAAAGGAAAGAACATGAGGGAATCAGTCACTCTGGTCAGAGATTCCACTACATAGATCACTCCCAGTGGTCTGACCCCCTGAGCTCTGCCAGCCTCAAGCAGATGATGGGACAGTTCACCTATGCAACAAGAAGCCCAGTCAGCAGCATCGAGATTCATCATGATGCCAGTGGGCTGAGTTGCTGGCACGTTACCAGGAGATGAGCATGGGTAGCTTCCCCAGGCCCTGTGCAGTGGGCACCACTACAGTTCATTCTGGGTCTTCAGCAAGACATGCTCATGCCTGGCTTCACAATTCCCTCCCAAAACGCTTGGTCCTCAGCCTTGCACAGCTGGCTGCCTTCTGCAACTCAAGTTTCAATTGAAATATCACTTTCCTAGGCCTTCCATGGACACAGCCTCCCCAATCCTCTATAACATGCTGTTTTCTATTACTTACAGACCTTTCCGATATCTGAAGTGATCCCATTCATTTGTTTTTCATGGTTATTTTCTATTTTCTCTTTTAGAATGTGAACTCAGTCAGAGCCAAGATTCTCTCTGTCTTCACCAATCAATCCTCAGCACCTAGAAAAATGTCAAGCACATAATGGGGAGTAGTAAAAATCAGTAGAATGAGTTAGTTAATTGTATCTAAGACAGGTGTGCAGTGGAAAGAACAGGGTTTCTCTCTCTATGCTCTAAAGCAGTGTGAGATTTCAAGACTTTGGGGTGGCTTTGGTAGATACTTTTGAATAGCTAACCATGGTAGGTGCCATCTCCTCTTCTTCTGTTCCCTTAAAGATCTGAGAATCATCCTCTGAGCCATAGGAATTGGCTCCTGGCACCCATGTTTTTACTATATAATTTTCTCACTTAGGAATGTTTTTGGTTGCAGGTAAAGACAACAATAACAACAACCTATTAAAGTACGCTGTGATGTCAACAAATCGGTTATCATTTTTCTCAAATAAGAACAAATCAGGAGGTATGCTGTCCAGTATCAGTGCAGCAGTTCACTGCACTGACAGGGACCTTGGCTCTTTCTCCTTTGTGCTTTCTGTTCTTGCACACAGCTTTCCTCTCCTACTGTCACATCATGATTACAAGACGGCTGCTGAATCACCAGGCATCACACCTGAATCCCAGAGAAGGAGAAAAAGCCATGCCCAGTAAATCTGTTGTTCCTTTTAATAAGAAAGACAAAAGCTTTCCCACAATCATATCCAACTAACTTCTATTTATATCTCCTACATTAGAACTAGGTCACAATGCCACCCTCAGCCAATTACTGATAAAGAGAAATGGGATTACTATGACCGGTTTAGATGATCAAAATTCATCCTCTGGGACTGGAGTGGGATCTGTCTTCCCTGATATCAAGCTATTGTCACACTCTCCTGAACAAATTGGGATTCTAACAGGAAAAATGAGAGAGACACGGCTGTTAGCTATGCTACAGCTAAATGAACTAGAGTGGGCATTTGACCAGTAATTGGGGCTATACAATTCTCTTTGCCAAGAATTACAGCTGAGACACAGACACAGAGAAAACGGCAGCCTGCAATGTCAGGCTTTTGAACCTTCCTGAGATGTGGTTGTTTAAATTCTTTAAATTTTATCTTAAGTGTCTTACCCTAAAAGTGTATTCTTTTCCTGAACCAAGTTCAAGGTGGTTTATTTTGTTTTAAAACAAAGGGTCTTTGTTATAGCAGCATCTAACTAGAAACATTCTGAGTGGCTCTATCAGACCATGCTGCATGGTTTTACGGGGTGTCAGACAGTCATTCACACCTCCCTCAGGAACAGCAGGGCCCTTTGCAGCAAACCCTCTGCTCCTTCTGAGGTGATCGGAACACTGCAGACATTATGTCATCAGCCTGACAAAATCCCCAAATCCTCCTTTTCCTTTTCACCTTCAGACAGCATTTGCTGAGGTCCCAAGTGAACAGAGAGGCCTTTGGACACTAAAGGCCTGTGGGGTGCGGACGGATGGAGGTGGCACAACAGCATCCACACTAACTAGTGGAGCACTGGGACTGCTGAGACGTCACATCACAAGTTCATGATAAAGGCCAAAAACACACCAGACCTTCTGATCGTTAGCCCAGTGCTCTTTTTCTCTCCTAAAGCACCTGACTATCTAGATCAAACACAAATACATTCACACAGTCATCCACACCCCCACAATGAGGAAAGACTATAATGGGAAAAGCCTGCCCAGCCCAGCTTAGGATTCCCTTCCTGTTAAAAGCCACAAGGAATGTTTGGGGGCAGATGATAAGGATTACCACTCACCTGTTCTATATGGACCTCTCCACAGATCTCTTGCTCTGTCATCTCTAAACCTGATCTAAATTCTTTGTTAATGTATATCTTTTCCCAACTTCTGCAAAATTTAGACAGGGTTTCTCAAAATGTGTTGCTTGCAACTTACGGGTGTTACATGAACAAATGGTTCTGTGATCAGATAACTTTTGGAAACACCTGGTTAAAGAAAGTTAAATGGTTTTTTCATTGCCAGACATTACAAAGCTGTCAATACTCTGATATGTGTGATGAGTATCTAAGAAAGGGGTGCAGTACGTGGCATTTTCCAAATGTGTTTGATCACTTAATCAAGTTTTTTTCTTGACATATATGAAAGGCTGATCATCTAAGGGATGGGCTTTGGGAGACACTGCTGGTGAGGAGGAGTGCAGGTGTACATCCTAAAACCTACTACCTCTAAGCACCAAGAGACATAGTCTGTGACTTGGTTTAGTAGGGAAGGCCCAAACTTAGGTATACCCTAGTAAGTATTGCTAGAGAGTTAGAACTGCCACTTAGCTCACAGCGCGTGAGTCCTGCATTACAGCTGCTATGCGGGGTAGAGGCACATTGCGAGAGTATACTGTTTTCTTGGACTAATCATGTTATTTCTCTCAGCATTAGGTTCCCCTCCTTGAAAATAAGCATTTTAGGCCATGTGAGAATGGCAAGAATGAAGTCATTACTGGAGAGTTTAATACCCTATTATTTTCCTTCTGTTCCAACCTTTAATCCACGAAGTTCTGGTTGATGTGAGGGTGACAGGCTACATTGAACTCAGTCACCTGACATGAATTAAAAACTTATTTATCTTGTCTAGATTCACCTTCCCAAAAAGACCACTTGGTACAACATAAAAATAGCCTCCCTACCTGTATGCAAACATATCCCTAAATGTCTGGCACTGATTCCATTGCCCCCTAAACTTTATATGCTTCAAGTATCCCTGAATGACAACATAATTTCAGGAGAATTAAATGCCTGGGTTGACAACGGTCCTGCCAAAGCTTCATCCATAGGACCTCCAGAAAGGAAAGCTCCTTTCCCTGGAAGACTGTTTTTCAGGGGTAGAGAAAGTCAAGTCAAAGAAGAGAATAACTGAGCAAACTCATTTATCATCACAATTTAATAATATAAACTGTATTCATTAAATAAGTCTGAGAGAATTTCACGTCTAACTCTAAAGGTTCAACATTAATAGCCATGTGATAATAAAAAAAATTCACTGTTTATCTTCATCCCCAGAATGAGTATGTTCAGGTTATAGTAACAAGGATCATAACTTCTCTAAATTTACTTTGGCCTTATATTCCCCTAAATGGAATCGTTTGATGTGTCTGAGAAAAGTTGATGTTTTAACCACACGCTTGTCTCTTAGGTCTGTGAAAGAGGGAATGGTCTCTACAGTAACGGGAACAAGAATATTAAAAGGCACAGTCATTTAACAGGAAAAAAGGAACAAGAGCCTCAGAGGACCAAGATTCTAGTCAGTTTCCAGACAGTTGATGTGCTTAGGGGTTGGACTGCGTCCACCATAAAATTTATATGTTGAAGTCCTAACCCTCAGTACTCAGAATGTGATCTTTGAAAGAGAGGGTCTTTACGGGGGCAATCAAGTTAAAATAAGGTTATTAGAGTAAACCCTAATCCAGTATGACTGGTGTCCTTCTAAGAAGAGGAAATTTGAATACAAACATGCAAAGAGGGAGGATAATGTGAAGAGACACAGAGAGAAGATGGCCATCTACAAGCCAAAGAGAGATGCCTGGAACACACCCTTTCCTCACAGCCCTCAGAAGGAACCCCTGTGCCAACCCCTTGACCTGTGGATGCTCCGTCTCCAGAACTGTAAAACAGTCAAGTTCTGTTGCTTAAGTCACCCAGTTTGTGATACTTTGTTATGGCAACCCTGACAAACTAATACAGCTGTGTTCCTGGGTAAGTCTTTTAATATCTCAGGGTCTCAGTCTCCTCATCTATAGCATTAGCGGGTAGATGGTCTTTGAAATTGCTTTTATCTATAAAGGTTAGTGATCAACTATGCAGGCAGCCTCTCTCCAATTCTCTTGAGATGTACACGAGTACCAACTTCTGAGAAAAGCTTTCCGTCTAATGTACAGATCAGCGGATTATAGACGGGTTGAAACCAGCTTTGATTATCCCATCTAGCCACCCAAATTTATATTTCAGTCATGACTTTAGTAAGCAAAATAAGAAGGAAAGGAGGCTCATAGTCTCCTGTGAAAGGCTACAAACTCACAGTTCATTTCTTTTTAAAAGAAATTCATCATCTGGAAAAACTGACTTCTAATAGATGCTAATGGAGGTGCTAGGGTGGGTTCAGGCAAAAAGATCAATAACAAATGTAAATTTCATGATGTGGTTCTCCACCTCTGTCAAGCAAACAATAAAAGCATGCATTTTGTGCTCTCTTCACAACTCATTTCTGGGCTGCCTCTCACTCAAATGTTTTTCATGAAAGGAAACATGTTTCAGGCAAAACGGTTAAACTTCTGAGTGTTACTATCCTGTTCCATCTCACCAATAAAACAGTTAATAACAAAGACTTTTTGCAACATTTATCAACCTCTCATCAGCATGTATCATCGTGGTAAAATCCCAAACTATTAATGCATCTTCAAAGCCTAGAATATGGTATTAATGTCAGAATCATAATGGGTAAGAGGAACATTTTGGCAACAAAAATTATAATTCTAAATGCTATAAAACAGAACTAATGTTCTAGCTCCCCTTCTCTGTACCTTATTGAATATATACTTTCCTGCCAAAGGAAACAGGAAGATAAACATCCTACTCCATAATACAATTTTATCATTACAAACCAGGGTCACCTTCTTAAGTAGCTGAACAGCTGGCTTAGCATCAAATATACTAAAACAAAACTCAACATACTTTGCAAGCATACATCCAACATTTAAATGGATAATGCTTGTATCAGTCAGGATCTCAGCGAGACAGAACACTCATCTTAGGATAATTCAAAGAAGGTTTATTTAATAAGAAACTTTTTACAAGGGTGTATACAGGATGTAATAGAACCACAAGGGTTTGCAGGCAAAAACTAAAGATTAGACGCTGAAGTGCTTACACCACCCTTATGCATAAGGAGACAAGGAGGAGTTGCCAGACTGGGAAGGAGAAGTTCATGTTGAGAGGACTGCCTAGAAGGGAGATATCGCCCCAGGTGGGCTTCCAAGGAGTGAGTGAGGTGAATCAATGCCCTGAGTTCACTTACCTGACTCCCTTCAATTTCCTCCCAGGACACCCCATTGATCAAACCGAACTATAGACAGAAAGAAGAATGTCCATTACTGTGTTCTATGAGGGTCAGCCTCTAAAGACCAGGGGGAGTAGATTTGGAGGGCGTGACAGGACAATATACAGCACAGTGCCAAATAAACCCAACAAACTCATTGGCATACTGTTTGTAAATTTTGAGAGTAGAAAGATGTCTACTCCTGTTCACCATTTTAATCCCAGCTATGTCATTCCAATACCAACAAATTATGTGATTCATCCTCCAGTGGAGGGTGTCCACGTTCTAGGCATCTTGAACAAAGCACTGGTCAAAATGCATAAAGCAAGGAAGGAATGAAGTAATTTATTAAAAATGAAAGTACACTCCACAGTGTGGGAGCTGGCCTGAGCATAGGAGCTCAAAGGCCCTGTTGCAGAATTTTTGGGAGTTTAAATACCCTCCAGAAGATTCCATTGGTTACTTGGTGTATGCCCTACATAAATGGAGAGATGAAGTAAAGTGACAAAGTCATTTACTCAGCGTACACCCTATGGAGAGGGTATTTCCTGGCATAGCTAAAGTGTGAATTGGCCTTATGTTTCCTGCCACCAGACCCCATTTTCCTGCCTCACTCTGAAGCCAACTGGGTGGCAACAATTCAATCTGATTCAGACACTAGCTACTCAGAGTTAGTCTAGACCCCACACAGTAAGGGTTCGGTTCCATAAGAAGCCCTCACTTTAGATGCCAGCTGTACATGATGTCTCTAGGCTACCTGCACTTCTGCCCAGTCTACCACAAATTTGGGGGTTTCTACAACCTCTCCCCAGGTTCAATAGTTTGCTAGAATGACTGACAGAACTCAGAAAAGCTCTCTACTTTCAATTATACTTTTATCATAAAGGATACAATTCAGGAACATCCAAATGGAAGTGATGCATAGGGCAAGGTATTGGGGCAGGGAGGGGACACAGCTCTTCCATGCCCTTTCTGGGTAAGCGCCCTCCCATTATGTCAATGTACTCACCAACCAGGAGGCTCCCTTAGCCTTATTGCTTCAGAGTTTTTACGGAACCATCGTTACCACGTAGACACAATTTACTAAATCATTGGCCATTGGTGATTGAACTCAATCTCCAGCCCCTCTCCCCTGTCTGGAGTGGGGAAGAAGGCAGTGCAGAGCTGACAATTCTAACCCTCTAATCAGGTGGTTGGCACCTCTGGTGACCAACCCTTATCCTGAAGCTATCTGAGCACTGCCCTATCTAGTCACCTCATTAGCATGCAAAAGACACTTTATCACTCAGGAATTTCCAAAGGTTTTAGGAGCTCTGTGCCAGAAACTGGGACAAAGACCAAATATATATTTTTTCTCATGTTACACCAACACATTATATTACATAGGGTCTGGCTTGAACAGGTCCTTTAGGAGAACGGTTTTAGCCCTTCTCACACACTCATAGACCACCTCTCTGTGGAAGTGGGGTGCCTTTCACCCTGAGCAACAACACTAAATGGATTCCTGAATTTCTTCTGAGTGTCCTCTCTGGCTAATGCATCCTCTGTGCATGAGACACGTGCTTTGATCAGTAAGCACACATATCAACACTTCAGGCACTGACCAAAAAAATGCAGCCAAGAATAGATTGTGATATACAGCTTGCAAAAGTTTGCTGGAGACTCTTGATACCGGAAAAAACTGCCTAAAACCATTGTTCTAAAGCCAGTTGATCATCCTAAATAACCAGGTAGGGAGGGGTAGACAGGTGGGTCACTGGAAGGAAAGATAGCAAGAGAGAATGGGGTGGATGTCTAGGCCCCACTAAAGGGAGGGACTTTTAAAAGCCACACCCTTTCCCCCTCCCCCAATCATACAGCAGTAAAAGGTAAATCAATTATCCTTTCCATATCTCTAAACTATACTTAACCTGGATTAGGTACATTAAAATAACATGGAGAATCTTTTCCAAATATTCTGAACCTCCCCTCCCCCCTTTACCCCACCTCTTCTTCAGTTAAGATCCACTGAGCACTACTTCTCTATTACACTCAGCTACTAAAAAGAAATACATTTGGGTCACATATCTTAATTCCCTGCTGACATACTCTAATGGAATTAATATTTAACAATACACACTTGACTTAGATCAGAAATGTCTTACAGGAGTCACCTATGTGAATTTTACATTGTTATATCTTCTGGAAAATCATGGTTTCAATCATCTGACACATTATCCCACATCCATTACATAAACCCTTCACAAAAATTCCATGTCAGAAGAGAGATGGTCCCCCCAGCAGAACATGTCTGTGCCTTTCTAACAGACAATCGTAATGACAGAATGCAAAGCATTGCCCCAGTGCCTCAGCTGCTAGGAAACAAGCCTTTTTTTAGAAATAACTGTGCATATTTATAAGGATCCTTCGAAATGGAGCCTTCTAGGACAATGTTGTCCAACAGAACTTCCTGTGATGATGGAAATGTCCTGTACCCACACCGTCCAATTCAGTAGCCAGTAGTCACATGGCTAGTGGACACTTACAATGTGACTAGTGCCACTGAAAAATAAAAATAAAATTTTAAATTTTATTTAATGTCAACTAATTTAAACAGCAGCATGTGGCTAGTAGCTACACTGAACAGCATGATTGTAAGGTTACTTCTTTTTTTCAGACTTTGCAGTTAGTACTTACACAGAAGCAGAACAATGCAAAATTTTGATGGTAGTTTCAATTTAGGTGCAAATATTATGTTTAAATTATAAGACTGTCATTATCTTTCAGTAATACAGTTTGAAAGGATTTGCACTTAACCGGCCTTGAATACAGAAGCTTGGCTGCTCCCAACAAAGAGGAGAAGTCTCACATCCTCTCTCTGGGGCAGACTTATTTAACAGGTTATGCCTCTGGCCTGGGCTGATGAAAGAATTGCTGACCTTCTGCTGAACAGTGCCACCACCATACCCCACCTGAGAGACCGGGGGGTATAACAAGAATAAATGTTATAAATGATAATAACATTTATTCTCCCCTGAGCTAGGGAGGGACCCTTCAACATTCGAAACCTACCTGGTAGAAGGAGGGCAGAAAGTGGCTTTAAAGCTTGCTTTGTTTAATTCACACATGGTGAATGTGCTCTTTGTTTAAGGAAGAGCCCAGTGGGTTTGCAGATTTCTCAACTTGGACACTATTGACATTTGGATCTGATAATCCAATTGTTGGGGGCTGAATGGTATTTTATAGGATGTTTAGCAGCATCACTGGCTTCTACTTATTAGATTCCATAGCATCCCCCATCCCTCCCAGTAGCAGTATTTGAATATTTCCCCAGGAAACTGTCAAATGTCCTCTGGGGGGCAAAATCACCCTGGATTGAGAACCACTGACCTAAACAACAAGGTTTTAGGCTGAGGACAACTTAAGAAAGGAGATCCGATCTCACTTAGTTTTTTTTGGTTTGCTTTATTATTTTTAAAAATCTCCAGTACCTAGCAGAAGCCTGATGCATGATATGCATTCAAGTAAATATTGCTTAGTTGAATGAATAAAAAGCCACTGTTAACATATTTTTAACCTTTAAAATATCTACTTCAGTGCCACCATATCGTAACACGCAATCAACAAATGTTTTCTGGTATGTTAATATTCTCACAGGTGTTAACAAAAAGCAAGAATTCCTACCTAATGACTATTTGAGGAAGAAAAATGATAGGAAAAATAAATCTTTTTCATGCCTTAATGTGCACAAAGCCATCTTCCTGACCTGTTAGGATTTTAAGTTAATAGTGTAAGTCTAAAAATATAGTCTTACCATTTCCAAAGGAAGTGCCATAATTGCAAGTGAAAAAGCAAGGCTCCTTGACCTCTCCACCGCCTCTCTTCACCAAAGTTCATCTGGGTGCTGGGTGAGTAAAACTCCCTTCTCACTGACTGTGGGAGCCAATCTTCTCCAGCACCAGATACAATCTCCATCAGCCCAGGCTGCCAGCTTCCCTGCAGGAGAAAAATAGATGGCTTGGTTCAGTTTGTGGTTCCTGAACCTTTACGGTTTATTTGCCAGCAGGTAATGCTTTTATCTCACTTGTCACAATCAAATTCTGCAGAATAAATCTACTACCTAATTAAAACTAAACGCTTTGCACCTAAAATTTAGGAGATGTCTCATCTCCAAGTACATATGGGATAGCATGGCAGAGAGAAAATAAAGGCATTTCCACCACGTACAGATTTAAACTGACAATATATTTAGCATAATCTGCCCTTCACTGTCTCTTTACCTAAACTCTTTATGGCATTTTAAGCTTCTTGGACAAGATTTTCTATTTAATGAGAAATATCACTAAGTTCCATATCACTGGTTGTACATTTAAAGAACTGCTGCATTCAAACAACCAAAATCATTAAGGCACACTGCTATTTTTATCAGGGATAAGGTCAGAGCATTTATTATAATTAAACAAAAGAGCAGAAGGAAGAAAGAGTAGTGGTTTGCTGGAGACAAATTAGAACCACCGGGGAGGTGTTTAAAAGTCCCAAGGGTCAGGACACACCTCAGATCAAGTAAATCAGTATTTCTGGGGTGGTACTCAGGCATTATATATATATATATATATATATATTTTTTTTTTTTTTTTTTTTTTTAGGGACGGAGTTTTGCCTCTGTTACCCAGGCTGGAGTGCAATGGCGCGATCTCGGCTCACTGCAACCTCCGCCTCCTGGGTTCAGGCAATTCTCCTGCCTCAGCCTCCTGAGTAGCTGGGATTACAGGCACGCATCACCATGCCCAGCTGATTTTTTGTATTTTTAGTAGAGACGGGGTTTCACCATGTTGACCAGGATGGTCTCGATCTCTTGACCTCGTGATCCACCCGCCTCGGCCTCCCAAAGTGCTGGGATTACAGGCTTGAGCCACCACGCCCGGCCTATATTTTTTAAAATAAATGCTTTATTTTAGGACAGTTTTAGGTTTACAGAAAAACTGCAAAGGTAATACAGAAAGTTTCCATATATGCCACATCCAGTTTCCCCTATTAATAACACCTTATATGAGCCTGGTACATTTCCTGCAATTAATGAACCAATACTGATATATTACCATTAGCTAAAGTCTATACTTTATTTATGTGTCTTTAGATTTTCCCTAATATCCTTTTTCTTTTTCCAAGATTCCATCTGGAATACCCCATTACATTTAGTTTTCATGTGTCCTTAGGTTCTTCTTGGCTGTAACCGTTCTCAGGTTTCCTTGTTTCTGATGCCCTTGACTTTTTTGAGGAATACTGATCAGATATTTTGCAGAATGTCCCTCAGTTTGGGTTTGTCTGATGTTTTTCTCATGATTAGATTGGGATTATGTGCTTTTTACTATAGAAGTAAAGTGCCATTCTCATTACATCTGATCAAGGGCACATACTGTAAACATGACATTGATGTTGACCTTGATCATCTGGCTAAAGTAATGTATGTCAGGTTTCTGTTTACCAAGTTACCCTTTTTGACCCCCTTTCCATATTGTACTCTTTGGAATAAAATGACTATGTTTAATCCACACTTAAGGAATGGGAGAGTTATGTTCTGCTTTCTTCAGAGCAGAATATCCACATAAATCAGAATTACTTAGCACAGGAAATTTGCCTATTCTCCATTTATTTATTTATTTAATAATGTACTCACATCATATATGCATGGATGTATATATGTTTCTTTTATGTTTTGGGTTTCAATTCGATACTAAAGTACTGTATTTTTTTCGTTGCTCAAATGTTCCAACTTCGGCCACTGGTAGTTCTTGCAGTTGGCTCCGTGACCCTTTGACATATTCCCATTGTTTTGTGTGTGTGCATGTGTGTGAACTTTTTTTTTTCCCTGGAACTTCCTTACTTTTTGGCATACAAGATGCTCCATGCACACCTTCTACATTGTCTTCTCTCATCCTAGAATCAGCCAGTCATCCAAGCTATGGTTCATTTAGTTGGAGAATAATATTAGAAATCAAGATCCTGGTGCTAGGTATACTCATTGCTGCTGGGTTGTCATTTATTCTAGGCCCTCTCAGCTGGCAGAGCAAGGAAATATGTGCGTGTACGCTAACCCATATATAAAAGTACATTTATCTGTACATATTTCTATATGTAACCATCAATATCTATATTAAGCTAATAGGAGTTGATATGATATCTCCAACTCTAATCCATCACCTCGTAGATGATTCCAGCCTCCTTTTGCTTATCTGCAACCTTTCACACCAACAGTGAGACACTTGTTTCTCACCACTGTCCATCCATTCACTTAATTGCTCTATTCCTGTATGCATGTATAGCAGTGTCAGAATTGCTAACCTGTACTTCCACAGGAAGGAACTCTATCAGCTACAGTAGAATGCTTATGTTATAGGCTCCTTTATAGCCTTCAGTCTTATAGACTCCATTTATTTCTAAAGTTGTTTAGGTCAGCACCAATTTTCCTTCACATTTTTCAGTGAGGTTGTTTTTAATACATCTGTGATACAGTTAGTTTCTTTTGTCATAATTTTGCATTTCACCCTTGAGTCCTCCAATCCCTTAAATGATTTGTTAAAGATTTGCATACATTAAAGTTCATTCTTCCTGTTATAAAGTTCTATAGGTTTTGACAAATGCATAAAGTTATATAACCATGATTACAGTATTATATAGAATAGTTTAATTGTCCTAAATAATCCCCTACGCTTCCCTTATTCAACCCTCTCCCCCTTTCTCTAAGCTCTTGGGAACCACTAATGTTTCTATTATCTCTATAGTTTTGTCTTTTTCAGAATGTCATTGACTTTGAATCATATAATAGCCTTATCATACTGGCTTCTTCCACTTAGCAAGATGTACTTAAGATTCATCCATGTCTATTTTTGGCTTGATAGTTCATTTTCTTTTATTGCTGAATAATAGTCCATTGTATAGATGTATCACAGTTTGTCCATCACCTATTGAAGGACATCTTGGTTGCTTCCAGTTTTAGCAATTACAAATAAAACTGCTATAAACATTCACATGCAGGTTTTGTACGGATATAAGTTTTCAAGTCAATAACTTAGTTTTCAAATCAGTAAATGTATTTGATTACTAGATAGTATGGTAAGACTATGTTAAGCTTTGTAAGAAATTGCCCGGCCGGGCGCGGTGGCTCAAGCCTGTAATCCCAGCACTTTGGGAGGCCGAGGCGGGTGGATCACGAGGTCAAGAGATCGAGACCATCCTGGTCAACATGGTGAAACCCCGTCTCTACTAAAAAAATACAAAAAATTAGCTGGGCATGGTGGCGCGTGCCTGTAATCCCAGCTACTCAGGAGGCTGAGGCAGAAGAATTGCCTGAACCCAGGAGGCGGAGGTTGCGGTGAGCCGAGATCGCGCCATTGCACTCCAGCCTGGGTAACAAGAGCGAAACTCCGTCTCAAAAAAAAAAAAAAAAAAAGAAATTGCCCAACTGTCTTCCCAAGTGGCTGTACTGTTTTGCATTCTCACCAGCAATGAATGGGACTTTCTGTTTCTCCACATCTTTGTCAGAAATTGATGTTGTCAGTCTTTTTTTTTTAATTTTAGTCATTTTGATTGATATGTAATGGTATTTCATTATTGGAATTTGCAATTCCCTAATCATAAATGATGTTGAATATCTTCTCACATGCTAATTTCTCATCTGTATATCTTCTCTGGTAAGGTATCTGTTCAGTTGACCATTTTAAAATTTGATCCCTTTCTTATTGTTGAGTTTTAAGAGTTTTTTGTACATTTCAGATACAAGCACTTTATCAGATATGTGTTTTGCAAATATTTTCTCCCAGTCTGTGGTTTGGCTTTTGGTTTTCTTAACAGTGTCATTCACAGAACATGTTTAATTTTAATAACGTCCAGCTTATCAATTTTTTCTTTCATAAATCATGCTTTAGGTCACATATCCAAAAGTTCATTATCAAACCATGGTCACATAGCTCTTCTCCTATGTCTTCTTCTAACACTTTTACAGTTTTGTGTATTGCATTTAGATGTATGATCCATGTTGAGCTAACTTTTGGGAAAGTGTAAGGTCTGTGTCTAGGTTCATTTTCTTTGTACATATGGACTTTGAATTGTGCCAGCACCATTTGTAGAAAAGCTTATCCTTTTTCCACTGAATTGCCTTTGCTCTTTGTCAAAGACCAATTGAATATATTTGGGTTTGTCTATTTCTGGGCCCTCTATTCTGTTCCATTGACCTATGTGCCTATCTGTTCACCAGTGTAATACTATCTCAATTACTGAAGCCTCATAGTAAGTCTTGAAGTCGGGTAGTGTGACTTCTCCAATTTTGTTCTCCTGATTTAGTATTATGATCGGAATTGTTACTTTTTTATTATACTTTAAGTTCTGGGATACATGTGCGGAATGTGCAGGTTTGTTACATACATATACACGTGCCATGGTGGTTTGCTGCATCCATTAATCCATCATCTACATTAGGTATTTCTCCTAATGCTATCCCTCCCAAAGCCTCCCATGCCCTGTGAGGCCCTGGTGTGTGATGTTCCCCTCCTTGTGTCCGTGGGTTCTCATTATTCAACAACCACTTATGAGTGAGAATATACAGTGTTTGTTTTTCTGTTCCTGTGTTAGTTTGCTGAGTATGATGGTTTCCAGCTTCATCCATGTCCCTGCAAAGGACATGAACTCATCTTTTTTATGGCTGCATAGTATTCCATGGTGTATATGTGTCACATTCTCTTTATCTAGTCTATCACTGATAGACATTTGGGTTGGTTCCAAGTCTTTGCTATTGTGAACAATGCTGCAGTAAACATTCGTGTGCACATGTCTTTATAGAATTATTTATAATCCTTTAGGTATATAGCCAATAATGGATTGCTGGGTCAAATGGTATTTCTGATTCTAGATCCTTGAGGAAACACCACACTGTCTTCCACAATGGATGAATTCATTTATACTCCCACCAACAATACAAAGCATTCCTATTTCTCTGCATCCTCTCCAGCATCTCGTTTCCTGACTATTTAGTGACCGCCATTGCAACTGGCATGAGATGGTATCTCACTGTGGTTCTGATTTACATTTCTCTAATGACCAGTAATGATGAGCCTTTTTTCATGTTTGTTGGCTGCAAAAATTCCTTCTTTTGAGAAGTGTCTGTTCATATCCTTCACCCACTTTTTGATTGGGTTATTTGTTTCTTTCTTGTAAATTTGTTTAAGTTCCTTATAGATTCTGAATATTAGCCCTTTGTCAGATGGATAGATTGCAAAAATGTTCTCCCATTCTGTAGGCTGCCTGTTCACTCTGATGATAGTTTCTTTTGCTGTGCAGAAGCTCTTTAGTTTAATTAGGTCCCATTTGTCAATTTTGGCTTTTGTTACCACTGCTTTTGGTGCTTTAGTCATGAAGTTTTTGCCCATGCCTATGTCCTGAATGGTATTGCCTAGGGTTTCTTCTCGGGTTTTCATGCTTTTAGGTCTTATGTTTAAGTCTTTAATTCATCTTGAGTTAATTTCCATATAAGGTATAAGGAAAGGGTCCAGTTTCCATTTTCTGCATATGGCTAGCCCATTTTCCCAACACCATTTGTTAAAGAGGAAATCCTTTTCCTATTGCTTATTTTTGTCAGGTTTGTCAAAGATTAGATGGTTTTGGATGTGCAGCATTATTTCTGAGGCCTCTGTTTTGTTCTGTTGGTCTATATCTCTGTTTTGGTACCAGAACCATGCTGTTTGGGTTACTGTAGCCTTGTACTATAGTTTGAAGTCAGGTAGTGTGATGCCTCCAGCTTTGTTTTGCTTAATATTGTCTTGGCTATGTGGGCTCTTTTTTGGTTCCATATGAAATTTAAACTAGTTTTTTCTAATTCTGTAAACAAAGTCAATGGTAGTTTCATGGGGACAGTATTGAATCTATAAATTACTTTGGGCAGTAAGGCCATTTTCATGATATTGATTTTTCCTAACCATGAGCATGGAACTTTTTTCAATTTTTTTCTGTCCTCTTTTATTTCCTTGAGCAATGGTTTGTGGCTTTCCTTGAAGAGGTCCTTCATATCCCTTATAAGTTGAATTCCTAGGTATTTTATTCTCTTTGTAGCAATTATGAACGGGAGTTTGCTCATGATTTGGTTCTCTGTTTGTCTATTGTTGGTGTATAGGAATGCTTGTGATTTTTGCACATTAATTTTGTATCCTGAGACTTTGCTGAAGTTGCTTATCAGCTTAAGGAGATTTTGGGCTGAGATGATGGGGTTTTCTAAATATACAATCAAGTCATCTGCAAACAGAGACAATTTGACTTCCTCTCTTCCTACTTGAATACCCTATAAATTTTATAAATGCCTTCTGTGTTGATCTTGCTGGGAGCTGCAGACCAGAGCTGTTCCTATTCGGCCATCTTGCCCACGTCGCAGGCATTGCTATTTTTTTTTAAGCTTCCCAGATAATTCCAATGTGTGGCCAAGGGTAAGAATCACTGCCTTGGAGGCAGCTGGGAATAGAAACAAGAACATAGATTTCAAAGTCAAGCAGCCCTTCGTTCAAATTCATGGTCCATATTTCAAGCCATTTGAAATACGAGGGCTTCAGTTTCATGTTCAGAAAATGGAAGATTAAAAAGCTTACTTAGGGTGTTTTGTCAAAGCAACCCATTTTGGAAGAACTCAATATAAGGATGAGCCTGTTGCGGAAGAATTTCACCTGACAAGAAACCCAAATGGCACTCAGAGGGTTGGAGGAACACAGTTTCCCTCCAGTGGGCCCAGAAGGGTTCATAACCAAAGGTTTGGACCCTGGCCTGGAACAGCACATAGCTTTTATAGGTTGGGGCAGGGGGAGTAACTAAAGGTTTTAGGCAACGTGGCAGTTTCTCCAGGGACTTCCTAGTTAGCAAGCAGGAAGCAAGCATACAGAAGCAGATAATGGCGGTTAGTCAGGCAATTAGGCGATTCTGTACAAACTTTCCACTTCAAGCCTGCAACAACTAACCAGTCAAGACAAGTTCTCCTTCCTCTACTTTGAGTGCTTTTTTGACTGTTTTCTTAGTGTACTCTGCTTTGACTAAATATTATGAAAGATTGGCATAGTTATTACTATGAAATATCTCTCCATAGATGCATGAACACACAAAATGAGTTACAATCCAGCATTTTGATTCTCCTGGAAAATGTCTGCATAGATTAAAGAAATAAGACTGTTTGACTTTTTTTTTTTTTTTTTTTTTTTTAGAAGGCAGTGATTCATGTTAGGCCCAGGGGGCTTAACTGGTCTATTTTTGGTAATGATTTGAGGAAGGAAATAATCTGACTGTATCAAAACATTAATAGGAAAATAAGATGCAAATAACACAAATAAATGATTTTTAAAAATAAGGATGAAGAAAGTATGTGCTTTTTAAAATAAGGCAAACGGCCAAATGTCCAGGAAGGACATATTTGAAGCAATGATAGATTGCCATGTCTATAGCTCTGTATTTTTTTGTTTCAACCATTATTTTAGCACACATTTACATAAAGGAAATTATTAGGTAAAAAATACAATTTAAAGACTTTTGTATAAATGTTGTCTTGCTTTCTAAAAACTCATCCTTTGTTCTATAGTGTAAAAAAAAATACATCTACAAGCAAGCAAACAATAATAAAACAAAAAGTCAGAAAAGGCAAAAAGAGGACTAACATTTATCAAGTTAGTTGCTCCAGGTTTCAGGCTAGGAATTACATACGTTTAAGTTACTTAATCCTGTGACAAATTTAATACCATTCTCACTTCATGAAATCTTGGAAAAGGTAAATAACTTGCCATGAGGCATACCTTTACCATGGCACGGCCAGGATGCTTCCCAACTGTGACGCTTCCTTACGCTGGCTCTTCCAAATCCAGGCATTCCATTCCCGTTGCAGGACTCATTTTGCTCTAGTGCTCTGACTCATTTCTGAAAAGGAAAAAGTGTGGGGTCACAAAAATATCCTCAAAGTTTCTAGATATCTTATTTTTTCATTTTTATTTTTAATAGGGATTGCCTATTGAAATAATGCAATTTTGGACACTTAAAACTTTTAACTTTGGTTTTAACTTTGGTTAAAAGCACACTAATAAAATTCTCAGTGATTTCTTTTTGCTTTTTTATTTTTAAAGCTTTATTTTTAAAATTTTAGATTTAGGGGGTTACATGGGTATATTATGTGATGCTGAGGTTTTGGTTTCTAATGATCCCCAAGTAGCGAACCTAGTACCCAATAGGTAGTATTTCAGCCTTTGTTCCTCTCCTTCCCCTACTGCACTTTTGGAATTCTCACTGGAGATTCTATACTTTTATAAACCAAATCTTAAAAATCTTAAATCCTGCTTATTTTCCTGTATGGATATCCAAAGAATTCTGGTTCTAATCTTAGCATTTATGAGAGGAAAGAAATCTGTCATTTCTTACAGGACACAGGCAGGCACACTTTCACAATGATGCCCCAAGACAGTAAACTCCTGTTCCATCTCCCCAGGTGTCATTAGTGAATCCCAGAGGCCTCCATTCTGCTTTCAAATCATCTGCCAGCCCAGCAGCAATGGCCATAATGAGACTCAGCCACAGCATAAGATACACTGGCTTCTCACAGGAGAACAGGACCGGGCCTACCTGTGATTCTCCCTCTGCCACAAGCATTAAGCCCAGCCAAATTCCTCACAACAAAACTGAGGGCAAAACTCAAACGAAAATATAAGGAGGTCAGAACTGGTCACAGAAAGCATGGAAGAAGGCAGTTAAAAGTTGCCATTTTCCAGCTTCCCTTACGACAGATACTTTTGTGCATAACCCCTCTTCATTTCCCTGAGGAGAGGTGACAGACACAGACCAACAGCGTGGAAGACACAGGTTAAGAAAGGAACTGTTAGAGAACTCACAGCAGCTAGCAGGTGTGAAGCAATGCAGGAGAAATTAAAGATACTCTAAGAGAAAACCACCCTCTGTCATGTAAACTAAGAGGTAATGGGGAATTGGTGACGTAAATTTTATGACATTTTATTCACAGTAGTTCTGAATGGCATTCCCCTCATGCTCATGCTGGCAGTTCCAGGTGGAGTGATTTGAAAGTCCTTTGTCTAGGCTCTCATGGTCTATCTTGAAAGCCAGAAATTTAGCTCTGTCCACCTATTCAGAGTTACTCGTGTTCTCCAAAACTTTCACGCCAGACGACTTATAAGATCCTAAAACACATACTAGAATGCCCAGGTTTTTGTTTCTAATTTATAATGTCTTTAATTGAATAGAACAGAATTTTCTATTAGTCAAAACACTCACATCAGGATACTCTCCTAATAGCAGTTAGCTCTTACTGTGTAACAACCATGCAAAACTCAGAGACTTTGTTTTGTGTTTCAATGGATGCAAATCAGAGACTTAAAACAAGTAATCATTTGTTTTTTTCCTCATGTATCTAAGATCAGCTAGAAAGTTCCGACAACCTGGGCCAGGCTCAGTTAATCTCTCCTGGGCTTTCTCAGGCCTTTATGGTTAGCCAGTGGTTGGATTACAGGCTGGCTGATCAAAGAAGGCCCCACACACATGTCTGGTGTTGTCTGGCCATCAACCCGAGTAACAGGAGTCAACAGGCCTCATTTCTCATCACTGAACAGGTTGGCCTGAGTGTGACCCCATGGGGTTATGCAGGGTTCAGAAAGAAAGAGAGAAAAGAGATGAAGAGCTAAGCTGTCAAGGCCTCTTGATGACTAGGCTTAGAACGGACACATTATTGTTAGTTTCTCCATCTTGGAAAGGGGCTGGGTAAAGTGAGGATGAGACCTACTGGGCTGCATTCCCAGGTTAGGCATCCTTAGTCAAAGGATGCTATAGAAAGTTGGCAGGACTTGTACCACAAGATGCAGGTCATAAAGGCCTTGCTGATGAAACAGGATGTGGTCAGATGCCACAAAAACTCACCAAAACCAAGATGGGGATGAAAGTAACCTCTGGTCATTGTCACTGCTCATTATACTTTAATTATAATGTGTTGGCACGCTGAAAGACACTCCCATTAGTGCCATCACAGTTTACAAATGCCCTGACAATGTCTGAGTTACCCTATATAGTCTAAAAGGGAAAGGAACCTTTAGTTCCAGCAATTGCCTGCCCCTTTCTTGGAAAACTCATGAATAATCCACTCCTTGTTTAGCATATAATCAAGAAATAACCATAAATTTACTCAGTCAAGCAGCCTATGCCACTGCTCTGCCTATGGAGTGGCCATTCTTTTCTTTCTTAATAAACTTGCTTTCATTTTACGGACTCACCTCAAATTCTTTCTTGCACAAAATCCAAGAACCCTCTTTTGGAGTCTGGATTGGGACCCCTTTCTGGTAACACCATCACTTCCCCCACATTCTATTGGCCAAAACCAATTATAAGGCTAGCCTAGGTTCAAGGGGGTGAAGAAATAGTTTCTACCCTTTGAGGGGATGAGTTGCAAAGTCATATTGCATGTGGGCCTGGATACCGGGAGGGAAATGGTTATAGCTATTTAGGCATCAATCTACCACATGGAACTGAATTAACAAGCAGAGATTGCTTGATGAATATAAAATCAAATACAACTGAATGATGCTCAGGGATTATATCAACCAAATGTCAAAAGAACTTAATGAGCTACACTTGCTCCAAAACTGGAATGTACTAGAATACCAGACACACACACACACACGTGCGCACGCACACACACACACACACACACACACACACTCTCTCTCTCTCCTCACACACACACACACACGCACACACATATACACACTCTCCCTCTCTCTCTCCCCCTCTCTCCCCCCCCCCCCCCCCCCCACACACACCCTACACGTCCATTTGGAGATAATCTCTCAGGGTGGATTCCTTCTGCAGATGTCTGCCCCTAAACTCTTCTGTTATGCATTGCTTTTTACTGGTTTTACTCTTAGGGTAATACCTGTTCCCACATAGTAGATTTACTTTCTGTGATCTCTATATCAATGACTATATTTGTTTTTTAGTCAGTTATGGCTACTGAAATTGTTTCAGGAAGAGAGGAGGAAGACATTCTCTCCTTATCTACCACCTGTCTCCTCAGGAGTATAATGACAGTGGCACTCTTGGAATCTGGAAAAAGAATCCTTCTTTTTTCTTTCATTCATTATGACTATGATCAGGAATTCCTGGCCCGATCAAATGGAAGAGCCCAACCTCTGAGACTGCACACCTAGGAATGTTTCCTAAACTAATTTGAAACTGAAACCTGGTTATTTTGTGGAAATTCGAGGACCCCAAACTCTGTTAGAATAAATTAACATTTTGGTTTTCCATATTGCTTTAGAATGACTCATGCTGTAGAAATTAGTTTTCTAGGTCGCTATTTCATTACACAGTGCCCTCCTTATAAGAGCCCAAGGGAAAAATTTCACTCTGATCTCAGAATGGGAAATGCGTGCTGCTTTCTAGTACTTAGAATGGTTTTGTTGTGGCTCTTATTACAGATAACAAGGATCATGGACATAAGGGCATTTCCTTCTTTGCATTTCCTGCTGGACAACTTAGCACCAAACCTGAGACCCATTTCTAGCTGACTGACAGGTCTTTTTGGTGTGAATTTTAGATGTTAACCTTGCACTGGCTTTGCCTTATCTTTCTTATTTCTGTATACACTCAGTTCTGCTTCTTCATTCAAATAATTTTATATTTATATTCTTCTACTTAAGATATTTATTAGGCAGCCTTAAGTGTCTTTGGAACCTCAAAGAAAATAAATACATTAATTAAATATATAAATACCAGTATCACAAGAGAAGCCAGAGTTTAGTTTTTTGAATTTTTTAAAAAAATTCTCTGCTGTCATCTATTTTGGTGGAACCCTTATGTTTTGAATTCAGATACTGAAGCTGAGTTAATCTAACCCTTCTCAATGGTTTATTATAATCTTTAGTCCAACAAGATCTCTATCATTTTATTTTTCCTTTATCCCACTCTGATTCCTGTTGCCCCAAGGCAATTATTCCAACAATGTCCTTTTGTTAGTAAGTGCTCTTATAAGTCATATGGTTTTATATATGCATGGGCCTTAACTATATGCAAATGTCATTGTTATCTACCTCAACCTGTTTCTTTTTTCATCCAGCTTTCTGCTGAATAGTGTGAATTGAATGCATTTTGTCTCTCTACTCCTCAAACTGTCTCCAGTTGCCCACCACCAAGAATATCTTGTGAGGATCAGCCTTACACACAGGGAGGACACTTTAGAGAATGGAAGGGTGATATTAATAATTACGCTATGACAGCAGTTGTACACTATGACGGTCCCAGGCAAGTTAGGTGCCTCATCACCTTATTCCTATAGGACCCTTGGAAACTTTGGGATAATTTTTTTGTGATATGGTTTGGATGTGTCCCCACCAAAATCTCATCTTGAATTGTAGTTTCCATAATCCCCATATATCATGGAGGGACCTGGTGGGAGGTAATTGAATCATGAGGGCAGGTTTTCCCATGCTCTCATGATAATGAATAAGGTTTTTCCATATTCTCGTGATAGTGAGTAAGTCTCACAAGATCTGATAGTTTCATAAAGGGCAGTTCCCCTACACATGCTCTCCTGCCTGCCACCAAGTAAGATGTGCCTTTGCTCCTCTTTCACTTCCCGCCATGATTGTGAGGCCTCCCAGCCATGTGGAACTATGAGTCCATTAAACTTCTCTTCTTTATAAATTATCCAGTCTGGGGTATATCTTTATTAGCAACATGAGAACAGACCAATACACTTTGTGATATACATATTCAGGAATGGATTTGGCTTGCCAGGTCAGAAAATATATATAGGTCCAATCTGCCCTTACCACTAGAGTCCTCTGCAGAATTTCTATACCAGTCTACAATCCCAGCAGCAGTGTGTAAGCATTACCATGGTCCCTGGTAACACATGGCATTATCCA